GTGGAGATGCACACACGCTGCATAGAGGCAGAGCGCGCCAACACACCAACTTACTCTGTAACAGCTCGCTGGTGAGGTTCAGGATCTCCTTCGGGGACACAGCTGCGGTAGCACCAGTGCCTGATTTCTGCGTTTTTACTCGACTCTTCTTACCCATTTTCTGACTACAGAGAAGAGAAAGAAAGGACAAAGAGAGAAAAATCACATCACCGAAGAACAAAATTAAGTACTGACGCAGCACAGCAGTGGCTAGAGGACACAAAGTTATTTCTTACCTCACGGATGCCATATCCTGATGTCTCCTTCCAGAAAAAAACAAATGCAGCAAATATTAGTCTTTGGAAGCTCTCAAAAGAAAAAAAAAAAAAATCCACCTTGCGTTCCCTGGAGGAAAAGCTCATTCCTTTTTTAATCTACAAAAACTATAGCAGAAACAAATTTTACTCTAGAATTTAAAAAATTAGATTATGTATGCAAAAATATTCCATGATATTAGAGATGAAAAAATGTGATGTTTGTGTACACATGGACTACCACAGAAGCACAAAGACCTGTATCTTCTCTTTGCTTTAAAAGAATCACTTCCCATTAACAGTGACTGTATCATAAGTGACAGGCTAGGCTTTCTGGACAAATGTTGACAACACTTTAAGAGTTCGAAGAACTCTAAAATCCCTTCATTTTGTTCCACAGGTAAATTCAAAGTATCTGGCTCAGGGTCACAGGGGAAGTCAATGGCAGACCCTCAACTTGAGCCAGGTCTCCCACAGCCTCCTAGTCTGGCAGTGGACCACCCATGAGTCTGGCATTGTCTGAAACATGAGAAATAACTATAGCATTCCTCACTGGATGAGACAGTGTGACGTAGCAAAGCTCACACCAATGGCTTTCTGGGTAGAGAGACCTTTATAAGAGAACGTCCATCAGAAAAAGCCTCCTATCAAGGAGTCCTGAGCTGTGTCTTAGGAAAGTAAGGGGTCAGGCTGTGTGAAGAAAGGGTGGGGTGATTCAAAGTAGGGTGGGGTAGGAGAAGCAGAGGGAAGAAGTGTGGCTGGAGGCCTCTGTCGGGGAGGAGCGGAAATACAGCTGGCCAGCAAGTGAGGCCACCTTGAAAACAGGCTGGAGTTGTCGCTGAAGGAGTCTGGATTTCACCTGAGAAGTCCTCAGCAAGAGAGAAGGGCTTTAGGAGGACAATAATCCAAGAGAATGAAGGAAGTGGCCAGCCAAGAAGCTTCTAGAACAATCCATACACTTCTAACAAACCACCACACTGCTGTGCTCGTGGAGCCCCTCAGCAGTAGGTTAAGCTTAATCTCACGTTTCCCTACTACACAGATGGCCACTAATCCACTGGAACTGAATCTTTGCAAGCAGGGGTCATGAACAGAGATAACAGAAAACAGCATTCTTGAAAGGCTAAGGTGTGTATCTTCTCTACATATCTAATGTATGAAAGTACAACGTGTATGAAAGTACAACGTCACTTATGTATCTAAGGAGGCTTCTTACAAACAAGTGTGACATACACACACAATCAGTTATCCTGGACGAAAGGGAACAGGAAAATGTACGTAAAACTTTTTCAGCATCAACAGAAAATAGTTGTTGTGAGATCAAGAGCAGGAAAAAAATAAGTGGGGAGAGGCCAGGAGGAAGAGCAGCTTAAGCAGGGTTTTCTATGCTTAAAGGACTTGGTTCGTAAAAGGGAAAGAAAATCCTGTGATTACGCTTTCTCCAATTCTGATGGCCATGGTCTTCTTCACATAGTCCAGCTTCCTGGCCCAGCCTGGACAGAGGACAGAAGCCTTCCGCCTGCATTTCACAGCTTCTCCACTCCAAGGGGGCATCTCTGAGGGAGTAGCACTGAGTTTAACCTGAAATGAACTAAAACTATGATATGTCCGGTAATAAGGGCTCACTCACACTTACAAATACAGCCGACCGGCTAGCTTGCCAGCAAGAACCGCCCAGAACCGCGCGTCATTGATGGGTTTAAGTGACCTCCTCCCTTCAGCTCCACAGGCTCTAAACAATAAAGAGTGTTGCTTTGATGATGAGCTATGGGCTGTCCCTCCTTAACCGGCCTAGGGAGAGGAGACGGGGACATGGGACAGTGATGCCACCAGCGCAACGCTCACAGGGACCCGCTGCCTACAGCCCGTTTCAACCCTTCCACCTCTGCCAAAGTCGCTCCAGCAGCTCCCTGAACCGGAGATCTCTATCCTGAGAAAATAATTTGTCATTAAAATGACAACAGCAGCTACCTTACATCCAGGCTGACCCTCTGCCAGGTGCCATGCTAAGACACGCTGCCTTATTTGATCTCCCCACTCTATACGGAAGATATTATCCTTATTTTTAGGTGACGTTCTCAGAAAGGCTAATGAGGTCTCTGTCCAAGGTTACCCACCAGACAAGAGGTAGAGCTAGATTCGAACTGGGATCTGCTGTGCTGGCAACCACCACCCACACTGTCTCTGCTTCAATACAGACAAAAGTCCCCGGCATCGCAAGGTTTGAAAGGACTAAAGATCCCCAAGGCCAAACCCCCGTGGGGCATTTGAAGACACCCTCGGACATCCCTGCCAAGTGGCCGCTCAGCACACCCGTGAATATCTCATTCTCTTGCTTAGATTATAGCGTTAGTCTCTGGGTTATGTCCCTGTCCCAGCCCACACCTGTTCCTTTAATCTACTCTCATACTGCCACCCCTCATCCCCAGCGCTTTCTGCTCCAGCAATGCCAACAGCTCCCCACCCCTCCTGCCGACATCCTCACATCCCCTTTGGCCTGTCTCTCTAGCTCCCCTCCCCGTCCCACCTGTAACGCTCTAGTCACCTGTTGACAAACTTTTTTGTTTTTCTCTAAACATCCTGCCTGTGCACCACCCCAAAGCCTTCCTCCTCCTCCTGGTCACAGTGCTCCCCCTCTGAACCACTGTAGTTCCTGACCGCTCTTTAACCAGTGCGAGGATCCCACGAGACTGAAACATTTGCTCACGTTAGTTTCCCTCCTAGGTAGCAGGCTCCTGAGGGCACACCCTGTCTTATTGATATTTGTATCCCCAACACCTAGCCCAGAACTTGGCACACAGCAGGCACTCCATGCAGGGTGCCATACTGAGCTCCCGGGGGAAAGCACTCTCACCTCTGGGCCGTTCGTTCTTACAGTCAAGAGAGACTTAAATTAGTTCAAAATCTATATTCCTGGAGCCTCTCCCCAGGGACCTGTTTCCATACAGAAACGTCTGAGTTCCACTCCACGTGAGAGGACACAGGACGCCCAAGCGCAGTGACTTGGGAACACAGCAGACTGGTGGTCACCTTCCCTGGTAGCTACTTAAGCTCACACTGTCCTCAAGACTCCTTCTTCCTTACGCCAGAACGCTGCTGGCTTCAGACACAAGTCATGCTGTTGCTGGTGGCCGTCGAGTCGGCACTAGGTGGAGTAACACGGGTACAGAAACAGAAACGAGTGAAAATACAAAACACATCAGTAAATTAACATATTGGACGACACACGTGTGGGATGTGGTCTTCAAAAGTCATGTGGGACTATGCCGACAGACACTCACAAAGCCACTCCTGGTTAAGATCCTCGCCTCCCTCCCCATCAACAGGTGGCCTTTGTAAATGGAGGTGCACCACACGCAGAGAAGCGCGCCAGGTGCACCACACACACACGGAGAAGTGCGCCAGGTACACCACACACACACACACACACACACACACACACACACACACACACACACGGAGAAGCGCGCCAGGTGCACCACACACGTGGAGAAGCGCGCCAGGTACACCACCCACCCAGACCCACACACACCCACACACACCCACACACCCACGGAGAAGCGCGCCAGGTACACCCCACACACACACACACACACACACACACGGAGAAGCGCGCCAGGTGCACCACACACACACACACACACACACACACACACACACACGGAGAAGCGCGCCAGGTGCACCACACGCACGCGGAGAAGCCCGCCAGGTGCACCACACAGACACGGAGAAGCGCGCCAGGTGCACCACACAGACACGGAGAAGCGCGCCAGGTGCACCACACACACACGGAGAAGCCCGCCAGGTGCACCACACACACACGGAGAAGCCCGCCAGGTGCACCACACACACACGGAGAAGCCCGCCAGGTGCACCACACACACGGAGAAGCACGCCAGGTGCACCACACACACGGAGAAGCCTGCCAGGTGCACCACACACACACGGAGAAGCGCGCCAGGTGCACCACACAGACACGGAGAAGCGCGCCAGGTGCACCACACA